GAAATACTTGAAGATCATCAACTAATCTGGGCCAGGGCAGTCTGACAGCTCCCAGCAATTCTTCCATGAGGTCACATTAAAACGAAAGGGGTGAGCTGTTCAAGGAATTAATTATTGGTGTCTCAACACCCCTGGACGAGAGCAGCTAAAAAATCTATATGAATCAATGCCTCTTAAAACCATCTCTATGTTTATCCTCTTTGGGGAGAGAAAAAAAAAAAAAAAGAGTAGGAAATCCTGGGAGCAGCGAGAATAAAGTGTTGAGAGTGAAATCTTTGAAGTGTAAAGAGAGATGTGCTACATTTAGCAGGGATTATGTCAAGCAGCATGACAAGGCAGAAAGAGCTGACAGCACACACATTGCCTTGGATGGAGAAAAAAACAGGTCATACACGACCCCAAATATGCCAACAGTTCCCAGCAATACAAGCAGAAAGCCCCACATCCCTGCAATCTGCTTGGGTGAGGATGGTGGCCCTGGGTGCTGTGGAGGGTATGAGCTACACAAGAGAGCAACAACCTTTAAAACGTGCCTTGAAGCTCTAAGCAAGGTTTCAAGAGTATTTCTATTTGCAACAAGCAAAAGGGGAGATGGACAGAACTTTTGCCATCGATCACTAGCTCCAGGCAGTCACCTTTTCATGACCTCCAGCTCACATGAGTTTCACCTCAAGAAAGAGCCTCCAGGTCATTTCACAAGTGCCAGGACATCCCACCAGCTGTGCCCTCCCAGGACAGCTGGACAGCTCCCACATGAAGCACATTGGGGAGCTGCTGTGCATGGGAATGACCTCACGCAGTAAATTAATTCCAAAGCACAATTGTTTTCAATCTTCATTTAAACCCAACCTTAGTTAATCTCACTTTAATGACATAGGAAATGGAAATTCCCTTAATAAAATAAGTTATGAATATTTATTACCCTATTTTTACCTGAAAATTGAATAATTCAATTAATTTTACTATTAATTATTTAATACAAAATTAATATACTGCGAGATCCTAACTTATCTATAAGAAGCCCTTGATAAAGATATCCAAGATATGTTTCTCAAGCCAGGAAAACGGGACAGGTAAGGAGCAGGGTGTGCTCTGGGGCTGCAGGGGGGGAATGGGGCAGCTCCACCCTTGCCCCCCAGCCCGAGGCACCAGGCAGGGGCAGGCACAGAGCGGGGCCTCCTTGCACAGAGATGCTCTCCGGGGGAACAGGCACGTTTCTCCTCACTTTTACTCCCCACCCCCAGGCAGTTCTGTAGAAACAATAATTGTATCAGGCTGTTCTGCCACGCTCCCCCAAAATCTCACTGCAGAGCAGCATCCCCCACTCCAGCCTCAGCTCAAGCCAGAACACGAGTCCACACTTAACACCACAAAAAATTTCTCGGGAAATTTCAAAACTCTGGGGCCAGCAAAAAAAATAGCTAAAAAAAAAAGAGGAAAACAATGATGGCTGCAAGTGTGTTTGCAACCAGGAAAGGCAATTCCTACCCAGCCTGATATAATCTGCATCCTCTGTTTTAGCAACCAGCACAAGTTGAGGTGAAAAACAGAACAGTCCTCTCCAAGACACGTTGTCTGTGACAGAATTCTGGGTTACTGGTGGTTTCTGCTTTTTGCTGCTCTGGCACTTCCCTGAGACCTGAGCTGGGGTCAGGATGGGGGAGCATCACCCACCCCACTCCCTGCCAGCAGAGCCCAGCCCTCCCCTGCGGTTGCTACTGCTGTTAGGAACTGGGTCCCCACACGTCTGGGATTTATTAGGTTGGGATTTATCCATAGGAAATCCTGCCTAGGCTACTGCCCCTTCCTGTACCACCACAAGCAACATTTGTTTTCCTGAAGCCAGGAGAAGAGAATTAAAATGCTAAAAATAACCCAGTAGGTAGCAGAAGCAAAACTGAATTACCCCAAATGGATCCTGACGGCATATGTAAATCAGTGTTGATTTGTAGGAGCAGGCTGCCACCCAACTTCTTTTAGTTGCAGAAAAATTAATCACTGCCAAGTCTCACTGCTTAAAAATGGCATTTGGGCTCTTTCTGGGCTGAAAAACCCACGTCTGGGAATTTCCCCTGTCACTTTGTGCATTAGTACTAGTGAGGGCTTATCACAGCGCCAGCTTCCCAAAACATTTCCTGAGAAACATTTATCTTCTGGGCTTTGTAAGGAAGGAAACAAGATCTTGGTACCTCCCACCAACCCAGAACGCTCCGACTTTGCTGTGCATGCAGCAGGAACATCCAAGCAATGCCAAAAGGGGCAGGGAGCTGCTCCCCCATGGAACTGGATAATGACAGCACCCCAGTATCATCATCATCCCCTGAAGAGAAACCCAGCTCATCCTCAATAACCAAGAGCTGAACACCCAGTCCTTTTTCAGGACATAAGACCTCACTGGGTTTGGGTGTTGGGCATAAACACATCTGACTGGCATTCCCAGCTGGAAAACTGACCTTGCAGCTCCTGGGCCCAGCCAAGTCTTCTCATCTGCCTACGCCATACTTGTGAGACACAGGTGAAGCTACACTGGATCACTGTAGCATATTTTCAAAATACTCTAAAAATTGTAATTACAGAGGGCACTTAGATAAGCAAAGTATCTCCATCTAGCAGAATGATTCTGGACTAAGTCAGTTTTGTCATTGACATTCCAATGTAAATAACAATTAAGTTCTACTTGATACACAAATGTCAAGTGATTTTTTTTTTTGTCATCATGATTTGCATTTAAACTTGGAAATGTCAGAGACATCAGCCCTGCTGCATTAGCAGAATGCTTCCCCAGCTCGCCCTGCTGACTGGAACCCCTGTTGTGGATTATCTGGCACATTATCAAGTAACCAAACACCATTTGAAGGAAACATCAAGGTCAGAGCCTTGCGAGGTGTACTTGTTAATTTATGTTGATAAACTGGAGCGCTCAAAAGACTGTTGTAATAATATTCCAGTACATTCATATCAGCATATTTTATCCACCAGTCATTCAACAAGTAGTTGGGTTTTTTTTAAAAAAGCAATTTTAGAGACTTTTAAAGCTCTCCTTTAGTGGCTGTAATGCCACCACAACCATCGCAAGGAAACCCGATCACCAACATCCACCATTGGCTCTGACAGCCGCCACCCGTCTGGCAGCCGTTCCTCAAATCACACTATACATCATCTTATTAAGAAATTCCATAAGTGTCAGTGGTGCAATTCATTTTTATTAATTTTCTGAGATGAAATTAGCAGCACCCCCAGCAGCAGAGAAAGAACGGGGAGTGTTCCAGTTCAGCGCCGGATCAATGTCATTAATTCTGTAATACCGAGAGCCCGGATCGTATGAGCTCAGTATTTAACTCTTCTAATTAATTTTTATATTAAAAAAAAGGGAAAGAAAACTAACTCAACAATTTAAGAAGGTCCTTGAACAGCCATCACAACTTTCCTTCTCCTGGGACATTATTTCTTTCAAGTGTAAACACACAGGAGGAAGGTACTTTATTATTGATCAGAAAATTATTTTCATGCATTGCCTTTAGCAAACCCAACTCTTAAAATAATAAGACACTGCTACACCAACATTTATAATCTCCTATCTTTAATGATGCCATGTATACCCAGACCAGTTAATGTTTTCTGACCACTTAATAGGCTTATCTGGCAAAGGTTCAGCAAGAAATTATTTTGCATTAATTCTGAAACTTGGATTACAAGGTCAGAAAAAGCCTTCTCCACTATTCTCGTGCTACCTGCTGCCATGCAGCCAAGGGAGCAAAACAAAGCATTTCCACACACACCCAGGGGAGACTCTGCTGCCATCAGTGGTCAAGGTCCATCTAAGGGCCCTTCAGACGCCACAGCAGCTCTGGGTCTCAGACCCACTGAAGGAAGCCATCAAGTTTCAAACCTCTCCCTTTCCAGGTACAGACACATTTTAATACAAGCAAATGCATTACTTAAAGATGTCACTAAAACTACAGAAGCAACTGGAAAAAAGTAATCCTAAAATTACATCACTCTGGTTTCCCCACACTTGACAGGCAGCAGGTCCTCTGCTGCACTGCCTGCCCCCTCCCTCCAGCCTCTCCTCAGTGGGAGCTCTGAAACTCCCAGGGAATTAATCTATGCTCTTCATCAGGGTCAATGTCAGTCCTTGCACCTCACTATAATTTCTGCCCCTGCTAATTACAAAGGCAGGTGATGCCGAACGCAGCACCACGCAGCTCAGGATGCCTTTAGCTCTGAGATGTGACAGAGGGCTTTCCTCCCACCATGGTCTTAGCAGGCTTCCTCCAGTAAACCTGCCCTTTGCATTAGAAAGAGATGGATTGGGAAGAAAGAAGAAAAAAGCCTACAATATTAGGAAGTGAAAGTAGTTTTTGTGTTAGTGAGACACAGGGAAGCTTTGCAAGCCTGAACACAGCAGCAATAGCAGGAAAACATCCACAGCCAAACCTTCCCATGGTGGTTCCCAGGGGAGCAGAGGAGTTAAACATTTATGGCAGTGCGAAGAAGATACGACATTTACTGAATAATAAACTGCAAACATGTCTGTTAATTCAGCTTTTTGGGATCTCCTCGCCATCAGACACTTAACCCCAGCAAGGAAAACACCAAAATGCAAGCAATCCCTGCACGTCAAACAGGCCGTGCTGTGGGGAGGGCTTAGTGCTTCTGGAGTGACTTGAGGCTGGAGGCTGCAGGGAGCTCTGCCAGGATCAACAGCCCAGGGCCTTGCCCAAAGGCTTTCAGACCTGTTCATATAAGGGACACAATTAAATCCTGAACGATCGGGTTAAAACTTTGACCTGTCAAGATTGCAGCTGTTCCATTTTTAATCAATCTGATTTCATTCAATAAAATGCTCATTAAGTCAATTAATGAGAGTTTGGTGTCACAAGCCATCAAGCATGACTGGGAGCTTTCACTCTGGGGTCAGGGCATTGATCAGCCAGTCAAGTCATCAGCGTGAATGAGTCAATGTGCGTTTTCACAGGCTGAAGCATGAGCAACATTACCTGGTTTTAGGGGAAGTTGTTAGCCATTCTTCATGCTTTTCAAACGTTATTAAATAAGCTGCAATTTCCTGAAAGAGAAATGCAGAAAGAAAAAAGTTATTTGCATGGCTGTGTTGGGGGAAAGTTTTACAACAGAGAAGTTTTATAACTGAGACAAGGAGCTGCCGGCCCAGCGTTAGCTCTGCAGCTTCAGTCAGGTTTGGTCCAAACGAGCATGTCTGCTCAACCTTCACATTCACACCAAAGCCAGACTTGAACAGAGAGGAGACGCAGAGAAGGAAAGGCATTAACATTTTCCAGCACACACAAGATGCTGGCAACTTTGGTGACCGTGGCATCGCTGAGAGCCCAGTGTTACGTCAGGAGGCAGAGGGGAAGGCAGCGACAGCACGGACATGGGAAGCTAAATTAAATATTTATAAATAGAACAGCATCACTGTGGAGAGAATTACTAAATTATTAATCGTTGCCATAAAAAGCCAGCGGGTGACATCAACATAAGTCATCGCTCCCACTTGCAGGAATGATACGGGCGATTACTTCCAGATCAGAACCGATTTGTTCACAGGAAATTATTGGCGCCGGCGAGATCATTCACGGCACTGCTTGAACACAGGCCTGAGCAGCACGGGGTCCCTGGCAGCCCCCGTGCAGACGGGCTGGGCACCCTGGGATGGGGGACCAGGCACCATCCCCCATCACAACAGTTGCTGTCACCACACCTAGAGATGGCCAAAGGCCCTTGGGCTGCAGCCCACAGGCTGCTGAAAACCATCCTTTTTTTCCTTGCCCATGAAGATATTCTCAGAAATATATAGGTTTTCTGATGGCCCTCTTAAAAAATTGCCTCCCAGCTGGGACCAGAGCCTCCCTTCTTAGAGAGCTGCAATAGCAAAAGCTACACAAAGTTCAGTGAAGCTGCCTCAAATCCGACCACAAACCCATGTGTGGTTTAATCTCCAGAGCTGCTGCAGCAGAAGCATCTCCAGGATGTGCCATCATGAAGGTACCGCACACACAAGAAACTGGTCTTTTGACCAGGAGATGATTTTCTTTTTTCTTTTTTCTTTTTTTTTTTTTAAATAGTTCTATATAGGGGTTGTAGCTATATAGTACCAACACTAAAAAAATCCACAATGCTCTCCAACCAGCTGGCCCAAGCATCTGCTAGAGCCACAAAATGCAATTATATTACTCCCAAACGAGACGTAAAAATATCTTGTTTCCAATACTCTTGGTTTTAAGACTCATACTTAATGTCCTCTGGGTATTGCAGTGGTGCCAGATCTCTGTGTTATGTACTTTATTAGAGTTGTGTGAATGTCATATTAATGACTCCTAACCAACATGTTTACACTGCAAATAAATTCTCCCAGAATCCACTGCTGCACCCCTCGTTTCCCAAGCCCAACTCTGCTTTTTTTAACAATCACCATAGCAGAGAGGATGGGAGCAACACTGCTTCTGCATCAACCAGGACAGGGTCCTGGGTGCAGCAACATGAAGCTCCAAAAATGCTTATTCCTAATTTCTAGTCAAGTGCCATGTAGAATCCAGTGTCATGACAGCCCATGCAGCCCTCCAGCAGGACACCCATCGCTGGCACAGCACCTGCACTCCTGACCTGCCCAGCAGACATGCCAGACCTCACACCTACAGCATCCACAGCTGGATCTCACTGGGTGTTTCATATTACTATAGGATTTTGCTTATTCCTATTGAAAATCAACTTGCCATAAAGATAATAAAGGCATTTCTAAGTTGTGCGGCTGAATAAACCCACTGCTATAGTGCAGGAAACCCAAGGGCTTCAGGCAAACAAAGGTCAGTCTCCCCCACGGCTTGTTCTCATTATTACTCCCAGCCAGTCTATACCCCCCCTGCTCCACATCTCCATCCCAAACTGGCACCAACGGAGGAGGAGCCGCAGCAACCAGATGTTCCTGTTTGGAGGTAGAACATGGGCTTCCACATGGCCAGCCTGGGTCCGCTAAGTTTGGGCAGACCAAAGGACAAGCTGCAGGTTGATGCCACTGGTGACCCACAGACACACACGTGTGTTCCTGGGCTGTTCAGGCAGCTCCTGCCCCAGCTGCAGTGGTACAGAAAGCCACAGCTCCCACCAGACTCCAAGCTGGATCTTTAAGCAACTCAAAATGCGTAATTCAATTCTTCTAACAGGATAAAAGAAGGATCCACATCAACTAGGATAGGAGCTCCCCCAGGCTTTCTGCTTAATGATATATTAGAGCCTGATTTCCCTCCTCCAGAGGAAATACCTTGGATAACAAGGAAAATCAAGCTCACAGTAGTGCTATAAATTAACATGTACAGAGACAGCAAATCCTCCACGCTGCCTCCCATGCCCCGAGTCCTCAGAATTACAAGGACTGGCATGCAAATGGAGCAACCCACCGAAAAAAAAGAATAATCCAAAAAAACCTTCCTGCATCATGTGCTGGTCCTGCCTGTCACCCACCGTGTCCTCCCCGGGACATCCCAGCATCACCAGGCACCACCCTCAGCTCTTCAGGCTGGTCCACGCAGCCACCACCAGCATCCGAGCAAGGTTTGGGATCAGGAGAGCTTCTGCCACCAGGGCAGATTGTCTCCACAGCCACCAACTACTGCAGGGCAGGGGAGGGCCAACCAAAAATCCCTCTTCATGTTCCGACACCCATGATGTGCCAGCTTCTGTCAGCGTGTAAGCACTAAGGCTCTAGGAGAATGACCTCGTCTGCCACCTCCAGCTGGAGCAGAACTGTGAGAAGCAGATGACTCAGTGATGCTCACAGCCAAGACACACGGCGCCAGGCAAGAAGGTGAGTTTCCAGCAAGAAGCACATCCCAGGAGCAGTCAGCACTCTGAAAACCCAGGAGTCAGAACCCAACTGAGCAATCCAAGTTCAGACACTCTTCTCCTAAACACCATGTCCCACAGCCTTGTCATGATAAAATAATTCCTACAGGGTCTTTGCTATACAGAAATCAGAAAAACACATCTGAAGGTCTGACCGCTTTCTTCCAGGGCTAACACTGATATTTTATCAACAGTTTACAAGAGTTGCTTTTTAAATCATGTGCCTATCTGTGCTCTGGGGCACATGTGGGGCTGCCAGTGAAGAGCGGATGCTCATCAGCTGCTCAGGCCATGTACCCTTTGTCACACCAACACTGTTTTCCCTTTTGAAAAAAGGAAGAAGAAATAGATTTATCACTAGAAGACACAAAGTCATTAAATAATTAAAAACAAAAGTATAGGCACAATAAAAGCCCTCTGATAAAAAAGCCCTGCATTTTAATGTGCGTTAATTCCCCTAATGATTCACTCTGTATGTCTTACAGGGTCAAATCAATGTCTTCACCAAAAAATTCAATTACATCCCATTCATCGTATCTTTGGAGCGAGGCTATTGTTTGCTTTTGTCTCCTATCAAACCCTTTCTGGGCTGCTTCTTCCCCGAGATTACAAACAAAAGGCAGTGTGGCACCAGCAAGGTCAGAGCAGACAGAGCCTGGCTTTGAAACCCCAGCTCTCCATCCTCCACTTCACTGTTTAATTATAACATGAGGAAAGGAAAGAAAAGGATGTGTGCTATGAACACCCACCTCATCACTGCTGGCGAGTGCCCCGGGGGCACTGGTCAGAGTAAGTGGCACAGGGTGGACCCCAAAGCCACCCAAGAGCCCCCCTGGGTGAGGGCACCACACCAAGCCCAGCAGCCCTTGGCTGGGATGTCCCACCCAGCCCCAGATCCAAGCCCAACTTTGTTCACATTACAGCAGCAACTGAGCAAGGGTGGATCACTGGGAGCTGCACCGACCTGCTCCTGCTCTGGCCATGCCTGCTGATTTCACAGCATGTCCCACCTAAGTGAGAGCCTGCAGGGCTGAGCTCTGCCTTCACAGCTTGTAAGTCATCAGTGAGGGGAAAACAGCTTAATTTGATCAGATAATGGAAGGACCCTGTAAAGCAATTAGATAATTTAATAGTAAAAATCACACGAGTTATGTTTTATCCTAAACTTGGTCCCGTAATTCAGTCCTTTAATTCATACTTCCCTATGAATGAACATTTATTTCTATTCTGCATTTCCCCGTTTGTGCAGATAATCAGCTGGAAGAGCCCCCAGCCCCGGAGCCCCCGCTCCCTGCTACGTGACCGTGGCTCCTCAAAGCTTCAATATTTAAGGACGGCACAAACGGAGCCGCAGCGGCCGGAGCTGCCCCGGGGGCCCCCCGCCAGTG